ATCAATGTTGCATCAATTCTTCAAAACATATCATATAGCAGGAAATTTTGGAAATTTGGAGGAATTAAATTTGGAAAATTTGGCATTTTGATAGCCATACGCCAAATTAAAAATCCGCCAACCACCAAAATTTAGCAATTCACCAAATTTAACTCCCTCCACTATGTCCCTTTATACGGTAAAACCTTTAATACATGTACATGCACATGTATAGTTTAGACCTGCCAACTCGTTTCAGGTTGACTGGTTATGTAAAAATGCAGTTTTCATGTTGTATCTGCATGACATGTACATGTAGATTTATATTTATTGCTCAAAGTGTCATGTTTATATTCTTGTACATGTTGATGTAGTGCATTTGAAGAGTCCAAATTTCTTCACTCAGTTTAAGTATACACATGAACAAACAATACTTGCTGCTTCAGCTACATAGTACATGTACTAGCCATTTTTGCCACTACTGGTAATTTTTCTACCCCATACCCACTCTTATTCAAGCTCTTATATGCAAACCTTCACTATTTTATTGTATTCAAACTCCATAAATAAATGTACATGTGCTTTCATAATCATGCCTCCAACTCTCCTTATGACACACAAGTTCATGATGTTATGTACATGTATATATTGTCAGATTTATACAAACGTACTCATAATTCTCTCTCTTCCTCCCTCAGTTCCTCCTTCCCACCCCCATGTGTCTTCCTTTCTCTCTGTCCCTCTCTATTTCACACTGAACCTCCATCAATAAACCTAGGTAAGTTTATAATACTTAAAATTTAATTCTTTCTTTATTTCCTGTACATTATGCATGTATGACACTTGAATTTACAAGCAATACCAGTTCATTCAAATTTTCAAAATTTAGTTTTAAAGACTCATACACATACACATATAACATAACTTTTCTTTATTCAACTTAAGTTAACCTAGCCTAGCTTCATTGCATGGAATACCACTTCTGTCAGGTTCCTTCATTCCATTGCTGTCACATTTTTATTCTTAACGTGATTTGCAGATTATAACTTAATTGTAGCAAAAATGTTTCACCATCACACTTGTTCATGATAATACAATTAATTTTTTAATTTTCTTTTTGTCTTCTTTTAGGCCTCCTGTAATTAATACAACATTTCAAACTCCTCTCATCAAACTATATTTCTGTTAAATATAGATTTAATTTTGTTTTTAACAAATATTGTTTATCTTACTTATTTTCAATAGCTCAGGATGCTTCTTTTCAACTGCCTTGGATGTACTTTCAGGATTACCTAAAATTTTAAAAATACTCTTGAAAATTGTACCAAGCAACTGTTTAAAAATTAATGCTCAACAAAAACAGTATATTGTTCATTAAAAAAGGATGGAAACTAGAACAAAAAAATTAAAAAAATTATTTAGTGTAGGGTTGAGCCTCTGTTGGATTTGAACCTATAAAATGAATTCAAACAAGCCCCTGTAGGGTTGCTGGTTTGAAAGTATAAAAGGAATTCAAACAAGCCCCTGTAGGGTTGCTGGTTTGAAAGTATAAAAGGAATTCAAACAAGCCCCTGTAGGGTTGCATCACCTTTGAAACACCAACATGTCAACCCTACACTGCAGGTATAATTGTCCAATCATCATCATTACTCCAGGCAATAGGCATGCACAAAATTTACCATAATGCTCATTCAAGCATTTA